CTATATTCTCAATGTTTAATTTTCTGTAAAAGTAATGTCTTTTTTTCATTCTTTCTGGTTCAACAGACAGACATGAAATATGCCAACTTTTGAGGATTCAATATTTATGTTATGAATGAATAATTCATTGGTTGATAATATAACTTGAAATGTTATTTAAACATTCTTTTCAATATAAAAATGTAAGTGGGTATGATTTTATGAAAATGAAAAATGAAAAAAAAATGACGTCATCAGCACATGGAAACAATTCATTATTAAAGTATCATATTTATTAATAGAAAAAGAAAGTAGATATTTTTATCATAAGGAAAACATATTTTACAAAAGTAAATTATTTCTTTTTTTTCACACACTTTTACTTGTATATTAGTGATGATTGCATTAATTTTATATGATTTATCTATTGATACAAATCAGTAGTAGTACGCTAAATCAATTAAAAAATGAATCAGACTATATAGATTAAAAAATGAGTTGACATTGTGTTGGAGATCCTGTGAAAACTAGAGATAATTAAGTAGCAATTTAAGTCGAAATTGAAAACTATTTGAAAGTAATGACTTATGACTTCTAACGAGATCGAACTTATTAAGTGGTTTCGTAGTGATCGTGATATCGCTTTAGAATGTACCTTTATTTAACCTAAATTTGTCTCACATAGAATCAAATTGATTAAAAATAACATGATATTGACATAAACAGACCTATTTGAAGTCTGAATAAATTAAATACTTGCCTGTCCTTCTATACTATTTGAACTTGTATTGACTTGACCGAGTTAGTTATTTATGCTGAAAAAAAGTAGCTTACACTAAGTTATGGAATGTCAGAAATTCCAATTTTTACCCAAGGATAACAAAAATACATCATCACTTTATTACAAAAAGTCTATTCAATTCCGAATTTACTTGAAATTAACAGGTCTAACCTTGCTAATGATACTCACTAAATGTGCTAAGTTCCGTCGCCGTAGGAGTCATAACTAAGCACTATTACCAAGTTATTCGGCTGAAGTCAGTCTGTAACGAAAAGTATCTCGAAATTTGAATAGTCCCTACGAACAACCGAAAGAAAACTAAGTTCTTTTTCTTTCTTTCTTTGAATTAATAGGTTTTGTAAACTCAAATAATGTTCTTTACGCAATTAAGTAACCAAGTGTCAATTCGTATTAAGATTTCAATCAAATTATCCAGTTGAAGAAACGAATTCTGCTAAGAGAGAGATTGAACTTCCGACTTACTCAAAAGTTCAAAGTTCAGTTCTTTAACCCAACACTCCTTAGAAGAATTGTATTTTTTACGTTTCATGGTTTAATGTAAGCTACCTCTTCAGAGCAAATAAATAACCGAATTAAATTAACATAAGTTTCGATTCATTAATGATACTTAGAAAAAGTGGAAAAGATTTAAGTGAAATTAAAAGTTAGTCAACAAAGAAACTGACAACTGATCACTTTAGGAGACGGAAGAACAGAAGATTTTTCAAACAGCGAAGAGATATGATTCTGTCACTTTTTTCGTTTCATATTGATCTTGACCAGTACACTAAAAAAATGTCTGTTGAATCGATACTAAGAGTCCATAGAAATATCCAATCAAAATCAAGAATACTAGAAACATCAACTTTTCACAAAAACGAACCGAAATGTTTCTAATTAGATATGTAAATTTTTTAGTTAATCGAATGCATAACAATATGATAAACGTGAATATCCTATAAATCATATAATAGCAAGAGTTTAAAATTAACTTCATAATGCATTCTCATATGAAAATAATTCTTTATTCTCGAATATTTAGCTTAACCCTCATTAATCAATGAAGAAATTCCAGAATTAGTTGCAATAGTCTACGTTCTCGGTACACTACAATTTGTGAAAAATTATAAGACAGCTGGAAATATTACACCTGCATAAGCGAATATCTAGCGGTTCGTTAAATTCATCAAACTACGTTACACATAAAAATAGTTCGCCCTACTATATTGCCTAGGACTGTTATAGATTAAAAAACACTTAATGATACTGAATTATAACCAAATCGAAACATAGTATCACCACTCTATATAAGATCACTAGATTTAAACCTTAGTTCGTACGGAATAGTTAAGATCAGAGAGAGGAAAATACGGGTTACTGTTCAATAAACTAGGTAACATACCTAAAAGCCGGTCCCGATGCCCCAGTCTTCTTTTTTTCTAACATTTCTTCAAGTCTTGAACAATGTAATACTCCACATTTTTCATTTTCCCCATTTACGTGACTTCTTTCCAATTCACTTTAACAGTTTAGCTATGCATGTTGTTAATTTTCACTCTCAATCAAGTGGTGTTAATCATGACCTCTAGGACCTAAGCTTAATTATGTCCTACAATGTTCACTTCTGTTAGGTGTGATATAGTTAGTCAGCTACAACGTAGAACCAGGCACATTTATGCATCAGTCCAATTTGCCATACCTCATTAACACAACAAGATGAACACTGGATTCATAAAAGTAGCTAATTCAGTGGTGGTAACATATGAAAGAAAGATTGCATATAAGGACATAGCACACGAAGAAAGGATTCGTTCGTAGAAAGAAAGATATGAGGCAAATTTAATCTCACAGTTTAAGCGAAGACAAAGGGTGTATACGCCGACGCCATTGTGATCGATTCTCAGCCATGTCACCCAGAGTCTACAACCATTAGTTACAATAGTCACGCGGACCCCAACCAAGTAGTCTGCATCTCTCAACATGACTCAGACCAGAAGTTATTGACTTCAAGGACTGATGCCACGTTTTGGTTTGGCCACCTCTAACTTTTTTCCAACAATCCTCAACACTAGTCAGCATTGTGTGTCATGGTAATCGGTGTTTAGGCGTACTCAACACGTGACCCAACCATCTCAGTCGGTGAAGATTCACAACCTCATCAAGTGATTAATTATCATTCCTTAATACTTTACGTCGAACCTCACTATTACTTACCCGGTGATCCCAGCAGATGCGAGCAATATTTCTAAGGCATCGGTATGATATAGACATGGATAATTATTATTCAAGATGCAATTTTAGGGGAAAAAACATCCATAACAATATCAAGCTAACCAACTTTAATACATGTTTATGATTTTTCGAAACTGTCAGTACACTAGTATGAGAAATGAGTTGTTCCCTTCTTATGATATCAAATTAATCGTAATTCGTAAAACCATTTTTACACTGTAAACGAAAGTGATTTCGATCAAACACAGGTAAATTATAACTATCTTTAATGCACAGCAATCAAATTATATATTTTCGTATTATAAAAAGACAATTATTCTATTTTCTAAATAAAGAAATACAACACTGAGTAATTACAATAATTCTAGATGATGACTTGTTATATGTAAGTACTTAATTAATACTTAAAACAAAACAAAAATAATACTTTCTTCATTCTATGCATAATCCTTGTTATAAAGATAAGTACGATTTTATAAGATCAAACACAACTAATCGACTATCAAACGATTGTTGTTAATATTCGTTACAAAAAAGAACAATACGTATCATTTTAAAAAAAAGTTAAAGATTTTAACTAATAAGAAACAACTTTTTCCAGGTACATTCTTTGGATACAGGATTTTTTTAAAATTGCTTTGTTAACTATTTCCTTTAAATGATATTATCTCAACGTATTTATTTCCCAAAGTAATATCAACAACAACAAGCTTATCAGTAGAACATTCTCTGACTCTCTATATAAGATATTACTTTTTATCATATATTCTATGATATCACTAGAAGGACATGATAAACTATCAAATACACAAAAACTATCATTATTAATCGTCACATAGATTGATAATGAAACTTTCAAGGTTGTCAGATAAAGTCTCTACAACTTTTACCATTTTCAAATGACCTTCAAGAGATGAGCGTCAATTTTATTTCTGTTTTGTTTCTCAGTATTATTATAATTAATTGTGTCAATAAAAATTTCGTATTCTGTGGCTTAATGGCATAGATTATTATTGATTGATTGATTTTGTTGTTTACATTCTATACAACAAGATTATTAAGTAGCATTAGGCACAACTTATGAACTGATAACAATGAATACAAACATGACTTTTGTTTATTGTTGTCATTATTATTATTATTACTACTACTACTACTACCATATATATTAACCCCCACCAGCCGGTTCATTTATCTGTATTGTAATTACTCCATTAACAACAATATTTCTAAATATTTTTCGTAAATAATCTTGATTGTATTGAAGAAAACATGATAAGAAATTGCCGAAAATGATACATTTGTATGTTGTTAGCCAATTATCAGAATGCAAATAGTTGATCAATTACAGTACAATTATAATTGCATTAAGTAAAGATTAATTTAAAAGTTAAATTTAGCATAAATCAGTGATCTAACATAAGTTTGAGTATAATCAACTATCAAGAGTGATGATAGTGTCATTACCATTTAAAGGGTAAGGTTATCAGGCGCCTATGAATTAATGAAGCAGTTCACTTTTAAATAAATTAAGCGCTTATGATTTTGTTCGGAAAGATAATTAGTTTGATAACTAAACTATTTAGCTAAGAGGACCCAACAAAACCAAAAAAATGATAAAACTATTTGTTTGACAGCACTTAATGACTATCATTACCAAAACACTGCTTCTACGACTGCATTGGATAGTAAAGATGAGTTCATACCCATATTTTAACATTATTCCAAAAGTAGTTATCAGATATTTATTTCAAGAAAATAAGCAAAATAAGATCCACAAATGTGTCACATATTAAGGTCAGTTATTTTGGGATTTTTTTTCTCAAGATCAGACTTAAAGAAGTATAATATTTATTATAATAATACAAAATATTGCTAATAGGGATGAACATTCTAGATTAATATTTTGAATTCTGAATATGTAGTAGTTCAAATGCTGTCCTCTCGAGAATTAATAGATAGCAAGATATATCATTTAAATAGTTTTAATAATAATTACCACACTTACTTTCACATGTACCCATTGAGTAGTAAGCTCAGGAATACTCAAAAGCACACTTAACAGTCGTGTGAACAATTCTTCAGAATTTAAAAGCTCTTCTCTAAAACAATAATAACAATGATATATACAGTAATCTCACCAGATAATCATTAGGAAAAACAGTTGATCTTATCATTATTTCTACATAAAACGGGAAAAAATTAGACTGCTTAAACTAAACCGAAATTATAATTTGCTTTCAACATATGGTGTAATTCAACAGGTTACAGATTATATTTCGATGGACTTTCGTTATTTTTCCAAACAAAATTAACTGATATATAAATATAGGTGTAATTTATCATCCAAGACCTTTAATCACATAGTAATTGGTCAAATTAAACAAAACGATCAAAAGGAATCCAAATGTACAAGACAACCAATCACAAACATGTTTATAAGAACTGACGAACTTGATATTAGCAAAATAATGTCAAAAAGTCCTATTGATGTTGTATATAATGGTAATGACCATCCCGTTCATAGAAATAAGCACTACTAGAACAATCCACTTGAACGACAAGTCCTTTCTAACAAATTGTTATACTCAAATTCGAACTACGATTTCCAACGACCAGTATATTAAATATTCGACTAATAGTGGCTTAACAGCTCAAGGTGATGAGAGTCTAATAGAACAACTGATGACAGATTTTACAAAATAACAAAACATTTCCGGCTTTTGAATTCACACGCTGATACGCTTTGTATTGTATCATAACGACTGGTTGAATGATGCTCTAGTAACTTGTCACTTAGTTTCATCCACAATTATTTATTAAATTATAGATCTTTTGGAAAGGGTTTGTTTGCTTGATAATATTTTACAGATGTATTCGTTCTTCGCTTTCTGGGTTACGACTAAGGTATTTAATGTCGTTTCACTGTGCCACCTAAATAGGTAACTATTTATGCTGATTGCATACTTGATCGCAACTTACTGATACATATTATGATTAAAGCGATAAAAAGCTCCTCGCAGACCAATAAACAGATAGTAGGAATTTCTAAGAAAACATCAATCGAATCGAACGATTTTGTAGTAAACCAAGTAATGTAACAATAATTATGATGGGTCCTACTACCATTGGAAGCTGAATTATGGACACAGTTATTCATAAATCATACTAATGAACAGAACGTAAAGTATACCTATTTCATGGATCACATACTAAGCTTAGAGCAATGATATAGTGGAAAGACAATCGACTGAGTCAGAAGTTTTAAATTTCTAATTCCATCGAATTTAACGGCTGAGTGAAATTACCACGTCCCATAAAGCATTTGGATTACAAATGAGTGCATAAACATGTACATGCCTAATGAGTAGCACCCAAGATACAAACCAAAATTCAGGTAAAGAAATCAAACACTTAAATAAACCAGAGGTTGTAATCATTTTAGCAACGGGGTAGGTTGTCTTATTAGATATTCCTGTACTGTAAACAATAACCAATACTGAAGATAATCTCGAACAAATGAAAACTTGCCTAAAATAATGATAAAAGTGATAATATAGGATAAAATACTATCGTCTAAGCAAAATAAAATAACATCAAGCTATACACATTGTTCAGAAGTTTATCTTTAGAGGTCACTTTTTTTTAGTCTTACTGATATGACGTAAGACTGAAAAGTATCTTTTAGTAGATCACACAAAAGCAACCAAGATAAACTCCATCCAGCCATGTGCATTCAAGTATCTACCGAAGATTGAACGAAAACCATAACCGGAAGTACATTAATTTCCACTTCGAACGTTTTCATAAAACAACTGTGTAGTTAGTTTAACTCAAGGTCAGTGAAAGCACTTGATCACAACAATCTGATTAACTTGGGGAATGAAGTTACTCTTGGGTTTTAAAACTGTTAGATGTTTTTGTGTTTGCTTTTCATGAAGTTCAGCTGAGTACTGGATGAATTCGGAAACTATAATTTTACGAGCTCGTTGACTAGATCATATCCTTTAGTAGTATTACATCTAACTTTTAAAGTCCAACCAATACCAAATATCTGCGAAGTAGGTATTTGTTTCCGATTTTCGCTAGCCATTTTAAATGGAGCGCAAATATATGAAACAGTTCCAGCGATTGATTACTGCCCCTAACCAAATCCCTGGTTAAGTTAGATAACTATCTGTATAATTCAAAACCACTAAAATTTCGGGTACTTCCATGAGCGATCTCTATGGTAGTGGTATGAAATATAGCGCACCCAAAAACATTTAACTTCGGTGTCAAATTGCAATGATCACTTAAAGTCGCTGAAACATTTTTGACAATTGTCGATCGACTTTCGTGTCCCCTTTGATTTCAAGAGTTAGAATATTAGCGCCTAGATTTTGAATTCCGAAACAATCAATGCTGTTGAATAAGTATTGGATATCGATATTTACTTGGTAAATGGATACTTACAGTGCTTTTGAGTCTTCTTCACTGGTATTTAGCTGATTCTTATCTAGAGCAAAAAATAAATTGCCATTGACAAAGTTATTTACGGTGTGGAAAGCAATTAAAGAAACATTTAGCTTAATATGATACGGTAATTGCGTAGAAAAATTATTTGTCACATGATACGACGCCATACAACCTCAAACAAACTAGTTAGAACTCCAGTTAAACTCCTGTTTTAAAAATGAGACCACTTAACACATCTAACTTTGCCAACAATTTAGTAATGCGTATCACAAATTTCATCACTAGAGTACGTTACATACAAGTCAGCGTTAAAGTTTATTTTGACATACGTCTAACAAGATTTTGTGAAGTTAATTATACTCGTAATGCATAAATCCTTCGTAGCAAACTATGAAACAAAATTTAGAGTTATAGATGCTTTTGGTTCTCAGCTAACTTAAACGAAACCCGAAAACGAATGAGCGTTTTGATAGTCTATACACTTCTACGTAAAATCCAGATTCCTCCAACAGCAAACAGTTCATTTACTTTTAAGACATTTAGAACGAGATTTTACATTGATTGTAAATTTCGCTACTTACTGAGAAAACATAAAAACTGGTCTGTGCAATTTATGAGCAGCGTAGAAAATTGTGAAGAGATACTTTGAGAGCATTAAACAAATAGTTATTGAGGAAAATGGATGACACACATGAATAATTACAACGTACTTACTTGCAATGACGACATCACTGACCAACTTGATATCAGCAAGATCCTGTGGGTTGTCTAGCTGAATACATTTGAGATGGAACTGTTCGCATAAATAATATGCGATTAAAAGTCTACTAATAGAAACAGTACTTTATAGTAATTACTTTGAAGTTCTGTTATGAAGACTATTAGGGTGATGGGGGTAAAAAATAGGAACGAGGCATTTTTCACCGTTATACTAAAAATTATTCGGAGCACATAGTTCTTACTTCAGTAAGAATGAAAAACTTCTGATCTTCGGAGATATTTAAGCGAGAGCATACATACTGCAAATCTGTGATACTATGTACCAGCACCTGTGAGCAAAAAATAACATGAGATATAATTATACTTTGCGACCACAATCAAACAATTTTCCACTGGGCAAGCGTATAAATTTTGGTGATATGCATCCTGATTTCCTTATAGTTAAGCCACCCATTCTTCGAAGATTTCATAACCCGCGCATAGAATACAAGCCTAGACACAAAATTTATCTAGAACATCTAAACAAGTTTAAGTGTTTCTGGCAATATAGCTCATATAAATGTCGTAGATTGATGACGAGGGAAGTTTTAAATCTTCAATCTCACGCAAGGTGATTTTCTCGTGAGCTACAGTTTTATCCTACACAAGTCACAAACTGAATTTACAATATTTTTAGGGTTACACATAGAAAGTGAAGACACAATGCAGCAGAACGGACTAGCTACCCGTTGAACCAGTCCAAGTGACTGCTCTGGAGTAGTTCAAGAGAAAACTTGACACATTCTTAAGCATTAAGGACAGTATCTTACTATAATTTCCAACTTTTTCCTATTTTATTGCTAATATTCCTAAGTTCCTGCCTGGAGGCATCAGAGATCTATTGCTGCTAGAAGTGAAAGTCTGTCAAGCGAGAGGTTCTTATATTCTGTACAGAAACGTTTGGACCACTAAGATGTGATTGTATTCTAGTTCTTATAATCTTTATCACTTGCTATCGGACCACCAAAGTTTCAAACATTGCCTAGCAGAAATAGCAAGGTTTTTCTGGACCTGCGTTTTGGTGATAAATAAGAGATTTTCGTTTAAAAATATATGGAGTTTTTTCTTTAAGCAAAGGGAATGTCGTGAATCTTTTCACAACTATCCATTTCTGTTAGTGAGATTTGCCATCTATGGTTTGGCAAACCTTAAACGTTCACATGTACTGTTGTGTGTTGATTTTTGTTCTCTATCTTTGAGGAATATCTTCAACACTGTGGCTAGAGGTCAAATTGTAATGATAATGTAATAGAATTAGGACTAATGCTTCCGAGTAAAATACTTCATGGTCACGCCTCTTCATCTTACTATGCTGCATAAATCATGAGTTCCTAAAGGTAGAAAAATGTGATCACATCTTTTTTGTAAGGTTGCCTAAGTGATTACCAAGAACGCTTCGGGTTTAAAAAAAGTGTGATGACATGTTGTTTGAAAGCCCCAGAATGCCATTGTTCAAAGACATTTAGAGTGTTGGGTGTAGAAATACCCCGTTCATGTTCCATGGGTGAAATTATTATTCTGAAATCTCTTGGGAAGCACGAGTTTTATGTAGCGTGGTGTGACTCCACATATAATGGTTTGAGACTTATCCTGTTTATTTTCATATAACTACGCCGCAAAACTGATGAGTTAGTAGTGGGTTACTGAGAGGGTGAATTATCGGGTTATTGGAAGAAAATTATAAATCATATGTATTTGAGTACATACAAGTGGCACGAATGAAGTGATCACATACTTCTTAATCAACCTTTGGGGAGAAAAGCAAATCCCTATATCGCACAGTTAACATGTTTTATGGATAAAGCCGTCTCTTACGAAGAACGAGAGAATGTTTGAAAATGGTTACTGCAAATATTTACTATCATATGTTCTTAAGCTGAATGTAAGTAGTTGCATTTTTTCACTAACGTGATCATATTTAATCAACTAAGTGAAGAAAGCAAACATGTGCTTTTTAGCACCCGATCATGGGGAATTATGGTCTACTTCGTTATTAGCACTATTATAACAATAGTCCTAAAATTGTAAATATGCCATGATGTGAGAACGTAATCTATAAGATCATACATAGAAGTTACATCATTGTCTATTCTGAACCGTCGTGTCGCAACAATCTGCGATATAACGTTTGGCGTTTGTAAAGAACACATTTAAGCTAAAGATAGAACAATGTGAGAAAAGACAAGTTGTACATAATGACCACGTCTGCAAGGCTGAGCCAAGCCATCTGATTTCTTGAATAAATATTCCCACGTTCACCATTGTATGTCTTCATTTTATGTTAAGCGTTGAATTTATATTTTCCTAGTTATTTCACGTTTAGCTTTGAGGATTGTGTGGTTCTGACCAGTACTACTACAATCTATCTATACCGACTTTCTTCTAGGTAATGTACCTGCTTTGCAGCATTGAGTAGTCGAGATATGCTTCCTATGATGCCTTGCCTTCTTTCAACACTACTGAATGATGATTGAAGTCTATCTATAACAGCCATATGAGACTCACTCCCATAAACGATGGGTCAATCTCGAAACTACAGTAATTCTGTTCAGGGACTAGTTCAAGTAAGAGAATTTCGAGTAAGGGTCACTATATCTATAGAACAGATTGCGATGATACATGATCATGCCAGTGAATGCATAAGGCACAAAACGTTTTTGTACCAATATCTCTCCAAAACGTTTTGGTTCATGAAACGGAATGTAACGATTGGCTCATAAGCCAGTCCACCAAGTAATTGGTGCGCATTAGATGTCCTTGACCCTGGAGAGGATTATTAAAGTATTTGACACAGAAGCTCTCTTACCGAATTATTTGGCTACGTTCTAATGTCATCTCATTGGCTCCACAGATCTTACTAAACCATTAACTCACCAAAGTTAAATCATTGGCAATTGCACAGTTTTGGGTCAGTGAAATCATTCCGATGAGCTCATCGATAATCAAACACTGCGGTTCTTCTATTTGAGACACTAGGAAGACTTATTTTGAAACTGTTCTGAACAGAATCAGAACTAATGCAAAAGTCTCTTTTAATATAACTCACTGCATAGTTTCAGTTTCAGTTTAGGAAGGACAGCAGGCCTGGCAATGGTGGTCCCCCAGTTGGTCCAACTTTCTTTTGAAAGAATCGACGGATGGAGCCCCAACCACGTGCTGAGGTAATGAGTTCCACTCGTTGACGATTCGATGGGAAAGTCGATAGTCAGCTGACAAGTAATTTGTTCTTGGCTTGTGAACTTTTTTGGAGTGTCCTCGTAAACTCTCTGTTTTGGAAGACAAGAAAAATCAGGGCATATCAGGTGCGAATTTGGCACTAAGCAATTTGAAAACGGGAAAAGGTTCAGCTTGGCCAGTCGAGCTTCATACAGAAGCTTCGCTGTTCCGGGAATCAGCTTAGTTGCCGTTCTCTGAACCTTTTCCAGAAGCTCACTGTCTTTTTTTAAGCAGGGGCTGGACGCTTGTGTGCAGTACTAAAGTTTAGGACGAACGAACACTGTATACAAAGTCAAAAACGTCTTAGTGTCGACATGACTAAAAGCCCTACGTATTGACCATAACGTTCTAAAACTTTTGGCGGCTATTGCACGGCAGTGTGCAGTAGTCTTTAAGTCTTGACTAACGATAACTCCTAAGTCATTATATGTCTGGACGACAGGTAGCTCAGTGTTATTCATCGTGTATGTATCTGTGCCTTGATGACCGATATGCATCACAACACACTTGGAAGTATTTATCGGCAACTGCCATGTTTGAGACCATTCAGATAACTTCTTCAGGTCATTTTGGAGTTCTAAGCTATCACCCTTACATCGTATCGTTCTCCATATCTTGACATTGTCAGCATATAACAAGACCGATGATGATAGAAGACGAGGAAGGTCATTTACATACAGAAGGAATAGCACTGGCCCCAAAACTGTACCCTGGGGCACTCCACTAAGTACAGTTCCCCAGCTAGATAACTTTGAGTTCACCTGAACTCTTTGTTGACACCCAACTAAGAAGTCTTTTATCCACATAAATAGATTGCCTAAGTCTACAGGTGACTTTTGGTCCTTAAGAGCGCACCAGCTTTCACGAGCCACTAATAAATTAGTGAGACAAGAGTAACCTATTCTGAAACCGTGCTGCTTCTTCGAAATGATCCGGTTTATATCGAGATACTTAAACAGCTCCTTCCGAATAATCTTTTCTAAGATTTTAACAACCAGACTAGTTAGGCTAACGGGTCGGTAATTCTCAGGTTTGTGTTTCGTAACTGTTTTGAAGACAGGACTTACTATGGCGTTTTTCCAGTCTTTGGGTAGACGACCCTGCGTTACGGATAGGTTAAAGCATATACTTAGAGGGTTCGCAACGAAGTTAAATAATTCCTTCAGTAGCCTAGGATGTAATTCATCGGGCCCCGTGGATTTACCTATGTCAAGCTTATTTAGTAGACCAAAGACATTGAGTTCTTTAATGGTCACGCTATCCAGTGTGTGTGGGTATCTGTATGCGCTGATGGGACGGGTGCTTCTATGGTGTATACATTGCTAAAGTTGTTTGAGAACACTTGAGCCTTACCAAAGTCGTCCTCCACTAATGATGAAGCAGTACTGTCTCCCCATAGAGCAGGAATATTTCCTCTTCTCTTTGTCCTTTGGTTTATATAAGAATACAAGCGTTTAGGACATTCTATGGATTCCTTAACAACCTTTTCTTCGTACAGCTTTCTAGACTTACGGAGGGTCGAGGCACAGGTATTCCGGACTTTTCTATACTGGGATTTACTTTCATCAGTCCCCGGTAACCTAAATTTATCCCACATTTTTCCTCTCTTACGGAGAAGAATGCGGACCTCCCTACTGAACCATGGTGAGGAGTTTCTCGGCCCCCTTGGTATAGTCCAAGGGATGTGGGGTGTGGTAACGTTGAGGTATGAATTTCGAAATGCGCCCCAGGCCGTTTCATTTGAGGACTCTGAGTCTATTGTTCAATCTACTAACGATGCTCAGTGCACGATATCTGGTATATTTGCTTTCCAGACGTTAGGTCCGGATTGGGCTGATGCGTACTCGTGACTGACAGTTATATGGAAGTCGAAAATTAAAACTGCGTGATCATTTTTACCTGGAGGTGGCATATAATGGAGGTTCGCAACGTCATTCACATAGTGAGTGAGTATCAGATCTAGTAAGGATGATTAAGTGTCCGAATCGTACCTAGTCGCTTCTTTCACATGTTGCACTAGGTCACATGTGATAACCGCATCAACTAGTTACTGCTCGAAGGGATTTTCTGACGATTCAGTTCGCAGATTTTTTCAGTCTACCATAGGTGCATTAAAGTCCCCTAGGATTAGACATCGACCACTTTGTGACCAAGTATTGAGACTTCTTAGCAGGACTTCATTTACCTCACAGCTTGGAT